GAGTGGTTTTATCTTAGCCATTGAAAAGATAAAGATTTGTAGAAGTTATCTATTCTTCATAGAAAAAGAATAAACAAATTAGTGAATTTGTTAGAAAATCCTAAGTGATGAGCTTAGGTAGTAGATGTACACTTGGTTAAGAAGTCGAACCATTATAAATCTTTGTGCATCAATTTTCTCATTCTTAAATCTCCTCAATCCCTAAATTTTTTTCTCAAATCCACTTCAACCTCTCTTAGCAAATCATTTGGTTGTTCAATTTGAGCTTCATCGAAATCCCAACAATTGGTATCAGAGCTTGACTCATTATAAGATATAACAACATTGAGACAAGTCTTTAAAAAGCTCTATCGATTCTCAACACAACCGATAAGATGGTTTCAACCTCCAGTTCCTATTACATTGAAGACTCTCAACTGATCTACAAGCAGGTTATTTTAATGGTGCAAATTATGCCTATTGGAAGAATATGATGATGCTCTTCACTCAAGCCAATGATCTAAGAGCTTGGAACTCATTCATGAAGGGATATTCTTTTCCAATCAATGATATGGATGATTGGAGTGATAGAGAAAAAAAGAAGTTCAAATGCCAAGGAGATGTGGGACAAGCTCAAAGTCATTCATGAAGGAAACAATGAAGTGAGGGAAACCAAAATTAGTCTTCTCAACCTAGCTATGATAATTTCAAGATAAAAACCGGATGAAGATATAAAAGCTATGACGGATAGATTTTACGTGATTGTCAACGGTCTCAAGGGATTTGGAGAAGTGATACCTTACGAGAAACTTGTAAGGAAGATGATCTGCTCTCTCCTAAAGTCTCGGCAATCGAAGAAGACAACGATTATCGAAGCTAAGAACTTAAAGTCATTAACTATTGATGGGCTTTTTTGTTCTCTTCTCACTCATGAGTTAATGGTAAAGAAAGAAGAATAAAATGAAGAAATAAAAACAAGAAGAATGAGGTAGATATTGCCTTCAAATCCACCAACGAGTAATCAAGACTCAAGTGAAGAGGTGGATGAAAAGAAGAAGAAGAGATGGATAAGCTCATCAAAAGATTCAAGAGATTCATGACTTCTAAGGAAGTAAAACATGAATCAAGGAAAAAGAAGGGTCTCCTGGTGTGCTTCGAATGTCAAAGAATGGGGCATGACAAGTATGATTGTCCCATCCTAAAGATAAAGGGATTAACTAAGAAAAAGGCATTTGTGGCGGCTTGGAGTGATGAAGATGACTCCAATGATGAAGATGAAGTAGCAAACCTATGCCTCATAGGCATCAAAGAAGATTCAATGGTAACTTTTAGCTCTAGTGAACCAAATTCCTATTCTTTTAATGAGTTACAAGTTGCCTATGATGAATTGTATTTGGAATTTGAGACTATGAATTCCAAATATAAGAAATTGATTTCAAAATACAAAATTGAAAAAAAAAATTCTCTTGAAAGAAAAATTAGATTCTGAAAAGTAAAATGAAATTTTGAAAATTTATTTTGAGCTTTCAAAAACCAAAATTGAAGATTTGAAAAAAGAATGCTTTGATTTAAAAATTAAGCTTGAATACTTAACAAAAGAAAAGGAAATCATTTTAAATAATTCATCTAATTTCATAATGACAATATGCTCACATTATCATTATCATAGTCACAATGAACATACTTGTCCTTTAAAGAAAGGAAAACGTTTTAAAATTAAACAAGTATGGATTCCTAAAGGGAGAAGGGCATGAAAACTAAAGTTAAAGGATCCAAAGCAATTTGGGTACCAAAATCTACATAAATGTCTCTTGTAGTTGTGTGAGAGAAATGGTGATGAAAGTGAATATATTCAAATACTCTAGCCACACTTGATATGGAATGGGTAACCTCTAAGCTTATTTTGATTATCTTGCATAATTGGTTGCTCATTTAGTTTAAGCATGCATAAGTTTTGATTTTAAATAATTTTATGTTTTCTATCTCATGTATGTTAAAAAGTGGTGTGTTGAACATTTTCTAAAGTTTTAATGATTTTTCATAAATGTTTGTTCATCATAATGAATTTTGGTCAAAATTGGTTTTAATGTTTTGTTTTTACAAATTTTAATTTTTGACCTTAATTTAAATGTTTATGCATGTGATTTATTGCATATTATATGTCTCTAACAATTGATATCAATTTTTCAAATGCATAACATTTTTGGATAACTTTATGCACATTCACTTAAATATAACAATTAATATTGCATAAAGTATATTAGACTTAGATATATTGAATTTCATGTGCTACTAACATGTTTGTTAATCTTTGTTGAAATTCAATATCTTTTAAGTGTCAAGTTTTTGTTTGGAATGCTTTTATTGAGGGGAGCTTTGATTTTTCAAATGATTTTATGCTAAAATTTACCACTTACTCTCTATTGTTATTTTTGAAGTTTAAAAATGAATTATTTTTTATATAACAAAAAGGGAGAGAATTATGAGTTTGAAAAAAATCAATTTCTCAATGAAAAAGAGGAGCTTTAATATTTTTTTCAAATATTGCTATTTTTTATTAAATGTTTTATTAAAGGGGAGTTTTGCCAAAATAAATTTTCAAATATTTTGTTATATCAAAAAGGAGGAGATTGTTGAACCATGTTTTATAATATTTTGATATAACAAATTAAGGAAAAATATTTTTGGACTTGATTGAATTTGTTCAAAGTTTTCAAAAATAATTCAAAGTCCATTAAACTAGAATTTGAACACAAAACTATTTTATGAGTTTGTAGTATCGATACTGTAAGAACAGTATCGATACCACATGAACAGTACCGATATTGTTCATGTGGTACCGATATCAAAGGTAAGAGAAGTATTGATACTCTCTAGGTAGTATCGATAATACTAGATGTTTTCCAAATTGCTCAAATTTTAGAATGTAAAATAGGTACCGATACTCAAAGGGGTATCGATACTACTTTACACAGTAGTATCGATACCATAAAGCATAGTATCGATACTGGTCAAGCCCAACGGCCTTTAACGACTAATTTATTGAAAAAGTACAAAGGTAATGCTCATTAAAAGAGTATCGATACTCCCTGTCCTGGGCAGTTTTAGTTTGCAAAAAATTAATCCCCAACGGCTAGAAACAACCACAAACTCATTCCAACATATAAAAACAAGTTGAAGACACTTGAAGAAGGTTACCAACACCTATCCAAGCAATCAAACACAAGAGAATAACTTTTTATTCTTATTTTCTTTTCTCTTGTAAATATTAGTGTTTTTGTGAGGTTAATTTTGTAAACACATAACTTGTGAGGTTTTATTGTTTACATATTTTAAACCTTTTGAAAAGGGGAGTGATTCTATCTTAGCTATTAAAAGGATATGGATTTGTAAATGTTATCTCTTTGTCCTAGAAAAAGAAAGAACAAATTAGTGAATTTGTCAGAAAATCATAAGTGAAGAGCTTAAGTAGTGGATGTAGACTTGGTTGAGAAGTCGAACCACTATAAATCTTTGTGCATCAATTTTCTCATTCTTAATCTCCTTAATCCCTAAATTTTTTCTCAAATCCATTTCAATCCCTCTTGACAAATCATTCGGTTGATCAATTTGAGCTTAATCGAAATCCCAACAATTATAAATAATATATTTTAAAATATTAATTTAATCGAATCAAGTCGTTTTAACATTGCTTTTATTTTCATTGTTTTGGCCTTCATTATATAATAAAATAAATATTAGTTGATGTAAACTTAATGCTAAACATCAGTCTTGAGTAGTGATTAAGGCCCTTGTTATTAATCTAAGGAGTCTCGGGTTCAAATCTCTCTCCCCTCTAAGGTTAATATTGTTCCAATTTAAATTTATTTTAGATGGTTTCACGAGGAAAAACATTTAAATTATGTACCAATTTAATAGATTATGTTTAATTATTAGTGCCTTGATTGAATTCATTTAAATTATTGGATGATCTGATTGACACGTATATATACCAATCTAATTATACTTCCTCTTGATTACCTTGAAGCTGGATGATCGGATAACATCATCGTCTCTGTTGAGGGCCGCTTCGAGAGCTGCCGTTGATTCCGGTTTCGTAAAGTAGGTAAAGAGAAGGTAAATGTCGTCCAAGTAAGTGTTGGTTTCTCGAACTTTATTTTTCTGAACATTACCTCCTCGTACTTCTGGGTAAGAGAAAGCCTTTCATCTTCAGACATGTCGGGTCTCAAAACCGCCATTGTCTCGTACAGTCGGAGCCCCGGAGGACACTGGGGTTCCTCTTTATCTTCCAATGCAGCTATGCCAGAGCCGGGTTGGAAAGGCGGGTCATCGTCGGAAACGATACCACCTGTAAAGAATGAACCTGAGAAGTCCAATGTCTGGGCATTGACGGTTAAGGTTACGGGGTTGTCTCTGCTGAGGGAAATCCGAGACTTGGGGTTCGGTGGGATAGGTTTGAGGCTGTGAGTGAAGGAGATGACGGGTAAGTGTGAGAATTGGGTGAGAAGGTGAGGGCAAAACGGGGAAATGGTTATAGAAGAAGTTGGAGAAGCCATTTGGGTGTTCTTTGGGGTTCAGTGATTACCGAGTCCAAGGAGAGTTGGATCATGAGGATGGGGACAGTGCGCGCCTAGCTGTTTTTGGTTGGGTGGGCTTCTGCATTTTCACTGTTATTATCAGGCTTTTGTTATCCATTCAATTGGGTTTCTTGTTGTCTCGTCAGCTTTATTTTCCAACTATCGCTGCTTGGTTTGTCGACAATCCTTAAATAAAATCAAAATCAACTCGTACAAAGGCCGCCGCACCCACCGTCATTAAAATCCCCATGTTTAAATACAATTTAGCTTTGAATACGTACAAACATGCTGAAAGGGCAGATAACGCATTCAGAAAATAGATGAGAAACATTGGTTGAAAAGACAAATTATTTGGTAACAAGCTGCTTCAGTTAGCATCATGTAGATTACAATGACCAACCAAGCATAATCTCTCGTTAATATCATATACAGAGAGTTATAGTCTTAAAAGGCTCTGGCAGTCTTGTTGGGATCATTGACGACCACCTCAGACAGATTCATCTCCATCTTCGTCTCTTTCCTTGCTGCTATTATTCTCTTTGTGGACTCGTAATATGTGGCGTACAACAACAGCTGCGCGATGCTAAACAATGTCCCTAGTCCATTCGGAACCTGATTGCAATATCAAAACCCAAACCAAATATGTATCCACTCTCATTTCCCCTTTGGAAAACTACTTATTTCATTGCCTTTTTAACACACCATAAAAGGTATGCACGTGGAAAGAGAGGTTACTGACTAACCTACCAAAACAAAACAAAACTCCGGTCCACTGTTTTTGTTGTTTTGCTTAATTTGATTATACAAATATAACATACAAAATCAATCAAGATACATCATATTTGCCAATAGTGCATGAAAACCTTCCATTGAATTTATGATTTATATCACCAACGTGGTTGGTTTCGTAGGCCAACTTTTCTATTCTGGGGTAAACTACATGTTTAGTACATTAACTATTAGTTTTGTTCCATTTTGATCATCCAACTATCTTTTTTTTTCAAAATCATATCTAGTGTTATGTTTGGTTTCATTTTGGTCACTTACTGTTAAAAAATTAACAAAACTGTTGAGGTGGTATTTTTTTTTTCAATGATGACGTGGTATTACCTTATGATGACATGTTAGCATCAGTGATATTTTTTTAACGGTGGATGAAAAAAATGAAACCAAAACTAAACCTTAGGATGATTCAAAAAAAATTGTTGGGTGACCAACACAGAATAAAAGTGATAGTTGGGCTACTAAACGTATAGTTTACCCTTTCTTATTTTACTATTCTTCGGTTAGTTGAAAATTTAAATGATGAAGTGAAAAGGTAAAAGAAATGTTGAACATGCAACTTACAGCAATGAAAGGATCAAAAGGGAGGAAAGCGTAAGTAGTCCAAGCAACGCCGTTGGCAAAGGAAGCCAGGGAGAGGAAAAACGGCATATACTCCACACTTTTCGTCGAGATCACCAGTTTCTGCACTAACATCTCAAGAGTTATATGATACATTCTCCTGTTTTAGATAAGGGTAGAATTTTTTTTATGATACTAACCATGACGGATAAAGGCGAAGCATACATCATGATGTTACCCAAAATTGCTATAATTCCGACGACCATGGACCGGCGTCCTGTGGTGTGAGCCACGGTGAGAACCAGTGCCGTAAGAATGGTCATGAAAACCAGCTCCACCAGCATGATCAACAGCACTCTGAGTCTCTTTTTCTTATCATTGCAAAAGATCAAGAAGATAGTTAGATACACGAGCTCAATGGCGGTCCCTGTTCCATTAATGGTAACGACGAGAGTGCTGTTGGGGTGAACCATAGGCAGCCCGTAAATGACCCAAACCATGCAGTTTATTAAGGTTGCCAGATACGGGGCTGGCGAGAATTGCTCCACTGACCTTTTCTTCCAAATTTGAGCAAAAGTTGGCCTGTAATCAACTAAACACAGGTTAATTAAGCTTAGATTTACAAAAGGGAAGAAAAAAGGTCAGGCGAGGCAAAGCTTACAGAGGAGACAAGAAGAGGAATAGTGAGATAACGTTCCCTGTGAAGAAGAAGAACAAAACCCACATTAGTTTACTTTTCAGGCAGGTTTTAAGGAAACAACGTTTTATGGTAAACTGACATACCTGTGACTCCAACTATATTACGGATAGTGTTGACTAGGCGAGAGACCATTGCTGCAAGCTGTGTAAAGCAGTGAATGAAACGAGTAGGGGGAGGGGGAGGAAGAAGGGAGTGATAAAGGGATCGTTTATATGGAGATTTTCAAGTTATACAACATATATACAAAGGGGGGATGAACGAGGTCAGTGTTGAATGCGGTGTGGGGCAAACGCATCTGAGCAAGGATTTGGCAAGTATCTAAATCTGGTTGGCCCGTACTCTCTGGCATGACATGTATATGCATGTAGTCGGTCGTAAAGTTTGAAATATAACGCTTGGAAAAAGGGGGCGAACACTGAAAATAATCCAAGGAAATGCTTTTTGATTCAGAGGTGGAGTTATTAGAGGGCGGTTTTGGCACTGCATTCAAGATTCCGGATGGTACTGAGGTTTTTTTCACAGATAAACTGCTTGCCAATTGTAATACATTCACAGCTAGTTTCAATGAAATATTTAAGTCTAGCTTATCCATAATCCATACTGGGATTTAGTGGACCTAAACATCCATTGGCTTTATTTTTTTATAATTGTAATCTTAATTTATGTCAGATATAAGTTTAGCTTATCCATAATCCACACAGGGTTCAATTTTTATGTCATACGACGGCATAACCGCGTAAGGAATGGAAGAAACACTCTCTGGCATGACCATTCGTTCATATATATAGTAAAATTATCACAAATATAATCCGATGGTGAATTGATATATATCTTGATTCTGACTTACATGTAATTGGTATGATTTACCAGAGCCATGTGGAGATTTCTGACTACTCTTTTTGTCGATATTTCACAATGTTTAAACTTTGAAGTTGTATTGTTTTGAATACGGGTGGCTCATAATTTTTTTTTTTTGCATATGGCTCATGAGTTTTATGGAGATCATTTATATAATATAAATATTTAAAATTTTTTAAATAACTTCAGTGATTTAGAAGTCTTCAAATTCGAATAATTTACTTTAAACTATTTAAAAAATATTAAATTATTTATCATTCGATCTAACAACAATAAATTTAATAATTATTAAATATATATCACCCATGTTAGAAAGGTACATGATGGTTAAACTTCTACAACGTTGCGTTAACATTCCTTTCACATACATGTTCTTTTCTTGTATTTTATAAGATTGCTATAATTATGTCAAAAAATAATATTTTAGTAGTCTGATTAAGATTTGAGTAAATTTTTTTAATATGAATGTTTTATTAAAGAATTTCACACATCTTTATTGCTATAATTATTTCTTGTATTAAAGAATTTTCTTTATTTTGTCAGTTAAGATTTGAGTATTTTTGTCTTTATTATTATTGTTATAAATACACACAATAATTGGTTCTAAATAAGCCATAAAAAGGGTTATGATCCCTAAGAAATAGATAATTTTGTATTTTCTCTTATCCCGTCAGAAAATTTATACTCAAGAGAATTTTATCTTATTGGAAGATTACAATAAAAAAAGATTCAACGATTTCAATCTATTAATTAATTAATTAATTCATGTACTTTTTCGCGTTTAGTATTTTTATTCTTGATGATTTGACATGATTAGATCCTGTTTATTTTTCATATTTATTATGATTTGGTTCTAACAAGTGACATATCATGTTGAATCAGTGATAATCAAAATTTTCTTTTATTCCTTGTCGATTTGATTTGTTCTTAATAAATTGGGTTCGAGATAATATGTATTTTTCAGTAATGAAACCCTTAATAATCAAGCGATTCGTAAATTGCATATGATAGACAATAATCGATATGGTTGAATTTTCTTATTCCATGACTCTATTTATTAATTATATTTATTGCATGGTTTCTCATATCTTGTTTTATTCACATATATTTTTTTATTTCTTTGTTCCATCATAAACTATGTTTTTCTTCTTGTGTATTACCCAGGATTGTCGTGATAATTTTATACAGTCGATAATGGTTAACAAAAAGAATTATTAGTTTTACCTTCATTTTGGTGTAATGATCGTATTCAAATTTTTCTACGATTCTTATGGTTTGAGTTTTATTCTGGTTTGACTTGTGTGTGTTTTTTTATTATAAAAAATCTGTATAAATCCCAAACAAGCTTCACATTTCACCTATGGCATGTTATGGCCTTTTAGTTTATTGGATTTGAATGATGTTGCATATTACTGCTTCATTTTTAGGTTTCAATTTCGATCATTTTTTAATTTATGATTTTGATTTATTAAACATGCATGATTAGATATTTCCATAATATTTATATTCAATTTGGTTTTTTTTATCATGTTATGGTTTAATTTGGTGAATCCATGATAAAGAAATTCTTAAGTAATAGGTTTTCGGTTTCTGATAGCGTTCTTTTAGACAATCTTATTATAGATTACTTTATAATCATAATGTGATTAGAAAATTCATTGTTATTTTTTTACTGTTACGAATTATAGAATATATATTTGGTATTGATATATTCAATTCAGTTTGATTAAAGATCTAATTCATTGATATATACTTTGATTTTGACTTTTGGTTGAATATTGATTATTTTAAATTCAGTTTTTCTTCGGTAGTTTATGAAGTTATAAATTGATTGCATGCTTAAGGAATTCTTCAGAAATAATCAAAGACTTGAGTTTTCGATTGACCACTATATAGGTAACCTTATTTTGAGTTATTTCGGATATCGTAGTGTAATCATAAATTTTAGTTTTGACATTTGATTGTTATAGAAATATTAAATTTAAATATTATTATTTGCTTTGAGACGGCTTAATTAAGTAATCAGTCGTTAAAGTGACCTCTTTTGTGTAGATTGGCTTTTTTAAAATATCAAGATGATTATGTGTTTTTTGTGATTCATGCATTTATTAATGTGACACCTGTGGTAATAACATATTACAATTACAAGGTATTTATTTTATGTGAGCATTACATTAGTCCAAAGATTAGTCTTTTGTTCGACATAGCTTATTGTTAATGTTTGATTACTACAACAAGAGTACCGTTTAATGTTAATATTACTGTCCAAAGACTTGATATTGATATAGTGTTTGGTATCTTGTAATGGGAATTAGTCATTATTTTAAATTTATTTGTTTACTCAAAATACGAGCTTCAGTTTATTGATATTTTGTTCTATATTCATGCTTAGGAAAGTGAATATCAAGGAATGAAAAAATGCACTTATATAAGGCTTTGAATATATGAACATAGAATTACATTAAGGAAAAACAATTTCCACCTCTAATGGGGATAACATCGATCCTTAATTGGTAAGAGATTTGAGAGGTGGAATTTGTTCAAATTGCATAAGTCTAGTGGTCATGAAACAATATTTTAGAAGTCTTTAGGGACACATAATTTGAAAAGATTACAAAGGCTAATGATTTTCTTGATAAAATTGAGAAATGTTTTCCTAAAAACAACAAGGTTTAAATGACATCACTTTTAACTTATTTGATGTCGATAAGGTATAAGTGTCAAGAAAATATGAGGGAATACATTATGGATATGTTTCATATTGCTTCAAGATTTAAGGCACTTAGATCGAGTTCTTCTAAAAGAATAACTTGTACTTGTAATTTCAGTATCTCTTTACGTAGAGTTTAATCAACTCAAAATGAGAAATGAACTCTAAATGAGCTAGAGTTCATTTTTTCATTATGTGCAAGAGGAAGAAAGGTTGAAGCATAATAATGAGTTTGAAAGTACTCACTTGAAAAATGTATATAAAGATAAAGACAAAAACAAAACCAGAATATAATTGTTAAGAGTCCAACTCAAAAAAAAAAAAAAGACATTTTAATAAAGGACGTTCTCTTTTGTAATAAGTTTGTTCATTGTGATCAACATATCTTGACAATAATAATAATATACATCTACACTTTTAGAAATATACTACTGCAAACAAATATGTTAGTACTAACTATAAAAGAATAAATAAAACAAAAATTAATTCACGTATTAATTGTATCATGATTGTTTTAGAAGAAAATGTATCTTGTTGAATGAAACAGGTCTTTTAAGATTAATATGGTTCTTCAAAATTTTATACACTCAAGTTTTTAAGGGGAAAACAAATAATATTGCTCTTCTCGAAAAATATATTTAATTATAAATCTATAGTCAGAAAAACAAAAAAGAATTATTGAAAGCTCGTGAAGAAAAATGAGATAGTAGAGGAAATTTAGAAGCGAGCGACTCTTGTTCTGAAAAAAATGAGACTTTTCTCTAAAGAGATATATAAATGTAATACATATTGAAGACACACGTCAGCACGAAAAACAAATTGGACCAGATCAGATTAGACGGGCAACAACTAAGTAAAAGTGTGCTGGGCCTCTACCCCATTATTGAACGAGGAGTGAAGTAAATGGTCTATACAAAACTCTCTCAGTAGTCATTTTTCGTCCAATTTGAGATTATTTGCATTATCAACATGTAGGCGTGTTCGTTCGGTTAAAAATGGTGACCAATCGAACTAAATTATTTTTAATCGAATTAATAATTTTTTTTTCTTAAAGCGTTAATTGAAAAGAACTTTTTTTTGAAAATGTTAACCGAACCGAATAAATTTCGGTTAAATCGGTTAATTTTCGGATTAACCGAATTTTTTTAAAATTTTCTAATTTACATAAAAATTGAATATTTTTAAATTAAAAAACTATTTATAATTAATTTAAATAATATATAATTATAAAATAAAAATTTTATATGTATTTTTATAATTAATTAATATTGATTTAGGTTTAAAAGTTATTAGATCTTAAATTATTAATTGAGTTTTAAATTGTTTGGGTTGAACCCATATTTTATATATAATATATTTAATATTTAAAATTTAATTTCAGTTAATTCGATTAATTAATAGATTTCGAATCGAATTAACTGTTAACCGAATTCTAAAAAATTTATTAATCGTTTCCCGACTGAACTAATTCGGTGGCTGATTGAATTAACCGAACTAATTTAGTTCAGTTGATTAATTCGGTTAAAACCGAAAAATGAACACCCCTATCAACAAGTGGTTATGCATTCTTATGCCATGTAGAGAATTATCATATTATTTTTCATCAATAATATAGTGGCATGTAGAGAATTTTCATATTATTTTTAATTAAAATTAAAATTAAAATGATAAAATATATAAATAATAATGATCAAATATATTATTATTTACCTATTACATTAATAATTTTATTAACCGATAACATTCAATGATCAAAATAAAATTAATTCGATTATTCTAATTTTTTATTAGTAAACATATAAATTTATTTAAATAATTTAAAGAATAAAGATCAAATATAAAATCTGAAAATAAAAATTATATTTTAAATAATTTAAAATGATTATAAAATAATAATTATTTAAAAGGACTTCCTTAAATTAATTACAGGGGAATAACATATGATATGTTGACTATAACTAAACTGAAAGATCATATTAATAAATTAAGTCGGAAAAGCTTCGATCAAAAAAAGAAAATTAATT